GTCCGATGATAGGAGAAATGTCAAATGAAATGGCGCTGTATGTACGACACGTGTACTCACAGGGCTATCTGTATTGCTGTGGGTATTTACATGTTTTATAGTACATGTATACATATACACACATATGTATATAGCGAGAGACAGACAAGTCTTCTTAAAACCAAATAATCCCTGATGCTTCTTCTTTCTCAACACATTGACTATGAATAAATTACAGTGGAAAATAGGGACTTTTTATGATTTATGCTTGGCTAGACTACAACACTGATGTAAACACGGAGGAATTTCTCTTCCATGGATGCAGCCAGGTTGTCATTTTTTAGCTTTAGTGTAATTTTTACACTGACTGACTCAAGACTGGCTCATCTGTCTTAAAAGTAGGAATTACTGCGATAGCGGCCGTGCCTTGAAAATCTGAGTGAATCTTTAAGCAATCCTTCAGTTTGAATTTTCTGTGAAAGTCTACTTGCAGATGTACAGAAATTGCATATAATATTGACAGTGGAATAATCAATATGCAGCAAGCAAGCTGTCTGAAAAATCCTCATATTTAAAAACACCCAAATTAAAGTGACATGTATGATGGAATGTTACTGCATCCGGATTTCATGCCTGAACCAATGCAACAAATGTAATGCCATGTTACGCAGAGGGAAGTTAATCACTTCCTTGTGGCGTCTGATGACAGGATGATCAGTCACCAGCATATAAAATTATTTTTGAGGTAATTAATACCACTCAGTATAAAAACACTGCCAGCCTTAATGTTGTTTGCACTTGCTCCAGTAGCATATAGTTTATAATAAGCTGAATTTCTGATATGATTCACACCAGCACAAGTTATCTGAGTCACTCATGACTATTTAGTCCAGAGCGTTGTATGTTGGCTTTCATGTAGCCAAAGATTTCCTGGTCTGCACATGAATATTAACCTTGTTATGCATTCAAACCTAATTTAGGATAGCATAGCATAGATGCATCATAGTAAACTGGGTGACTTTTCATGGCATACGCACTAATATGGATTATAGAAATTAAGTAAGACACCATTTACAGCATCAGACAACATTTACATGGTATCTGATGCCAAAAGATAAAGTTAATAAATGAAAACAGTAGGATGTTAGATGGATCTGTGGATTGAACATCTGAAAACCACAACAAAAGCAAGAAACTATGGAGGAATATAACAAGAAAGCAAAAGTTATAACTCATCTCTTACCGAATGCCTTGGTTTGTGTATTAAAAGGGGGCATCAGACTTGGCTTTAAGCACATCGAGTGACCAGAGGAGCAGCAGATTATGGCATTTCCACACTGGCTCTGGCACTGTGACTTGCTAAAAACCATTTTATGCAATGCAAATGAGCACTGTCTTATGACTTAAAAGGGGGCAAAAAGGTCTGAATTTCTTAACAGAAACCAAATACCATGTTATTAACATATATTTAATTTAGCCGTTTAAAAATTAGAACGCTTAAAACAAAGTTACTTTTCCAAAAAGTGTCCATTAACAGTGAATAATTACAAAGAGGAACAGGAAGGTGGGGGTGGCTGCTGATTGAATTTTTATCAGTCAATATGACAAATGATGTGTCATCTCTGTTTATCTATCCACTGTCTTGTATGACTTGAGAACAGCCTGCAGACTGAGCTGTCAGCTGATAGATAGAATCAGTGGCAATCTATACTTGAAAATTCTCATTACTGCTGTTTGTCCTTTGTCATTATGGAATGAGCATCTGTCCAAAACCCACATCTGATCCAAAATGATTAATAAACAGCTAAACATGTGCTTTAGATCGAGCAGCATTAATGGCAAAAAGACCCGTTTGAGTGCTAAATGTACATTTTTATTGAATCATAGTTATCTGTATTCCCTGAGATTAATATATGCAGCCACGCTGATATTGATTTGAGTTTTCAGCACAGTGGATAAAAAAAAGTGTGAAATACATTGTTGTCTTTTGGTTCTTCCGTTGCCTTCCCTAGACAACTTCAATATTATATATTCAACAAACCATTTTGTTTTGACAGTAACAAATGCTTCTGAGTTTTTGCAACTCTGGCTTCTAAGAAAACTCAAGTTTTTCTTTTATTTTTTATTTTTGGTTAGTGTTCATATTCTTTCTTCCTTATTGTCGAGGAAAGATAGAAGCAATCAAAGGCATGAAAGAAGACCTTGACTGCTACTATCCGAGGGTCCTTTGTATAGATGCACATGACTTAACTGCCGCTCAAAAAGTAAGCAATTTAGTAAATAGTTGGTTTCACGTGTTTGTAGAAGTCACACGTTCAACATAATGTTTTAAAGACATTTTGATATATATAAAAATGGAGGGAATGAAGCTTGTAACCTCATAACCTCACTGTGTAACCTCTCATTTTAATAGCTGGTGTCTGAGGGGATATGGGGTTGAACTGGTATGCAAAACTGACATCCTTCAATATATAAACAGAATAAAATCTACCTGAAAATTAACAAACAGATAATGAAAAATCTTAGTTGTCTGTGACTACCTAATCATCAGTTCCAGACGTGTATTACGGTCATTAACTTCCTTCATCTCTGCAACATGTTGCTCGGATAGTTTATCATACTGAAGGTTTATCTAAGTGTGGGGGAGAAGTGCTTTGCTGCAGGGAGAGATTGCCTTTACTTGCATGGCACCAACAGAGCAAAACAATGTGCTGCATGATAAAAAATTGCTTCATAACTCTCACATTGTGTGTCTGGCATCATTATGAGGCACAATAGCCTCTGGAGGGCCTGGCTTTTATTGGCGTGCCTCTTGCAGCAGCAAAGTCTCATCCATTAAACAAATCAGGGGGTTATGTATTAGATTAGCTGTACAGCAGGCACTTGGGGACGCCTAGAAGAACACACGAAACCTCATCTCATTCCCTCTCATAATCCCTGGAATAAATTACCTAATTGACAGCATTAGGTTGATACTGTCAGTAGGTGCCACTTAAAGCATAATGTATAATGAAAATACACAACGTTGCTAAATTGCGTTTTGGTATTAAAAATGATAAACGTCAGCCATTTGGGGCATATTTAGAGTGAAGCCTCTCCTCATAGCATGCTGCCAGATCTCATTTTTCAATATTTCTTAATAAATTTATAGTGTCAGTGATATTAAAAGCTCATTTTTGCTTTGGAATATTTAATAAAGCTTCTGTGTGATAGGAAGCCAATGTCAAAGACAGAGTCAGGAAACTGTACGGTGGCAGCTTGAACCTCCCACCACCCACCGCGCCACGCCACCGGACCTCTGACCTGTGTGGCGAGAAATGGACTGCCCCCCACTGGTGAAGGGTCAACACTGCAGCAGAGGTTCAAGAAGTGCCCCTCACAGTTCAGTGCACTATTCATTCTGCAGCCAAGCTGAAAACAACAGAGCCTTTTGACTTTCTTGAAAGTGAAAGCTGAAACTGTATGCATCCCATTTTCCAAACTGTACACTTGGATCAGAAAGTTCAGCTCAGTGTTCAAGTATCGGAATCTGTGGGTTAGTGCCAGTAAATGGAATACCTCAGTAAATGTGAGAGCAAAGGCCCTGGATGAACTATAGCTAAAAGATTGATGTTTATTGGCTGGGGTAGATTTAATTGCTTTTTATGCAATTAAAATCTGCCTCATCTAGTCATAATAAAGCTAAAAACAGAGCATTAATATCATACTTCTGTCCTTTAAAGCCCTCAAAATGTTGCTGTTGTGGTGCCATATAGTCAATCTAATAATCTGAGTGACTTTTCCATTTCAACTTAATGTGTTCTAAAATGTGTCTAAGCTCCATTATAAACCATTCATTCATGCAGGTAAATATAGTTTAAATGGGTAAAAGTGTTTTGTAACAATGTTGCTTTGACTTTCTGATGAACCAACTCTGTGAGACAAACATCACTCAAGTATTTCAAGCCTTTTTCAGACTTTGCCCGCACTTGTGATCACATTTGAGTGCGTGTGCATGTTTCAAGAAAACTTTGAGTTGGGGGACAGTCAGAGTGCATGTTTTCTGTCCAGATGTGTGGGCATATTGCAACTCCAGGAGGCATTCACCTCTCTTTTTAAAGTGCAAAAGTAGTCAGCAGCTGGTGAAAGTAATAACCTTTTGTCATGTTGTTTTGCATTTACCCCCATTATCTTAAGTTATTTTCCCGCTACTCCAAAGTCACTGGTTTCAAACTCTTACAAATAGCTCAGTGAGCACAATAATACCGCTATCTAAATGTTCTGTTTGACTTTTATTTGTGTCATTTACACCAAGACCATCCCCTGGTGGGGAAATTTTTCTCTTGGATATGGAGATATATTGCCTTCAGGAGTAATGTAGCCTGATAAGTGATGAAAAATGAAAATCTTGTCTCAAGATGCAGAAAAACAAAACAAAGAAACAAATGGTTTATGATTTTGCTGTAAGAATACATGCCCTTATTTACTTGATTATACTTATGCGGTAACCTTATAAAATGAAGTGGCATTAGAGTAGATCAATATTTTTTTTTATTTATTTATTTTTTTGGCGGGGGGCTACAGGAAAAATGGAAACTTAGTTCACAATAAGCCTGATGAAACTATGCTATTTCCATTCTAAGGATCAATTTTATGTACCGTTCTCACGGTTTAGTATTGTATCAAATCTTACAAGATAAAAATATACCTTATCCGGATCACGTATTTCATAGCACATGGGAATCCACCACTGGTAAGTGGTATTCTGTTTTATTTTACTCAGTACACCCATAAATCCTTCAGGCAGGATTGATCTCTGCTGTGTTCGGTGTGACAGGTGCAACAGAGCCGACGCACAAATTCATGAGGTTTTGGCATCTTGTGGTAACCAATGGGACAATGCATGAAGTCTAAACTGGCGGGGTTAAGGATGATAGTCGGGTACCTGTGCCAATCGCAGTGCGTGTAGGAGGAGTTCGGGGACTGGGAGGTGTGTCAGAAAAATGCGAGTCTGCAGCTGCATACTGTATCCAAGTCAGGGAGTAATGCCATGAGTACTGCTTTACACTGTTTAGACAAGCTTTTCAGAGCGTGCGTAGGAAACTACTATTCGACTGTCTCTGCTGTCAAGTAAGCCACAATTTTAAGCCCGAAGGCTCAAAGAGGACAGGAAAAGGACACTCGGACAAACTGCAAACTTACTTAAAAGCAACCAAAGTCCCCAAAGTCGCACGCTCAAGAGGCGTCAAACCCAAACGATCCATCCTTTCTGGCTGTTTCAGGGAAGGATACGCTGCTGGACATGTGAATTTAAAGGGGATACTTGCTAAGCACAACAATGAAACCAACGACTGCCCAGTGTTGCTTCGGCTTTCTTCTGACTTGCCTCTTGTTTGGGTTCAGCTTTTCACAATCAGGTGAGTGAATTCCAACCCTATGCTCCCCAGTGCGCAAAACTGTATGTCCGCGGAGATGGTTAGTGCGCGCTGAGCGCAGCACAACTACCCACCGAGCATACTTTTCTGTTACTGTTCTTTGTTGCGCATATGGCTATTGGAGCTTATCAGATCACATCAAACCCGCTAATACGGTTTCACCACCAGCACTGAATTCTAACGCCGAAGAACGTCTTAAACAACGGCCAATAAGATGACGTAAAGATCACAGTTGCACAGAGACACAGGTGTTGGTCAGAGCAGATGGTAGGTTGTAGCAGTACATCTGACAAGACGAAAGGATCCAGGCGAGCGCGTCGCTCCGTCTTCTTGCGCAGAGCGGCACTGTTGAATTTGGAGAGAAATGAGAGCATTTGTTGTTCATCACACGTGTCCTGAGGACATAGCTAGAGAAACACAGAGGAGTTATAGCCTTGGTTTACAACAGACTACTGTGCTCCTGTTTTCCCTCCTGTGGATAGACAGGCTGTCTAACGCATAACTATTTCAAAAGTTGCTTTCAATCTCTGCTCTTTCTTCCCCTTCTGACTAATTTATCCCAATAATCACAACTGTCGTCATGATAATAAGACGCAACCCCATGGTTATTGTTTTTGATGAATTTGGCTGGTTGGACAGTGGGTTGTATTAACAGTAACAGCTTGAGGCTCCGCAAGTAGTCACCCGGTGATTCAGACTACTTTAAACCGTTGAGTTCTACAGAGACTGCTGTGGGAACGCTCTCTATATTAATAGGCTTTTTGGCTTGTTGTTTGTGTTGATCTGTGTAACTCTCACCTGTGCAAACGACGATAATAGTGGCGAACATGTACGTGCATTCTGTAATCGGGATAAAAACAAAGCGGATTATAGTCAAATTAGATTATTCATCGTTTTATAGTAAATGCCCTCGGGGATCCTGTGGAGCACAAATTGACGACCATCGTTGCAGCGCACGGGACTTTTCGCTCTGACAGTAGCAGTACTGTTTGTAGAGTGCAGGGGCGCTCTTTACGCGCAGGGGGGTATAGGTGCACTCAGCGGTGTCTGTGCGTCTTCGTTTATGTGTGTGTGTGTGTGTGTGTGTGAGAGAGAGAGAGAGAGAGAGAGAGAGAGAGAGAGAGAGAGATTAGTTAGATAGAAGCAATACCACCTCATCAACCACCATTATCACCACTGATAATCACATTTTTGGATGACTACGACTAAAATTAGACTAAATCCAAGTATCGGCTGCACTGACACAGCATCTCTAGATCGTAATTCACACACAGTCGTTTTTCTCCTCATGCTGACTGTTAAACTGTTTCACCGCATGTCTTAGAGTCATGTTTATGTGACTTAAGGCGTATAACACCACAATAAATAAATAAATAAATAACAACAACAACAAAAAAAAACCAATTTCAAACAATATAAGTTCTTTTGGCACCACGTCTCTTGCGATTATTTAAACATCATACTGCGTTAAATGTGATGTATAATGCGCACATATTAGGGCAGATCTAAAATTCTAACCCGTGTTTTAATTAATCCTCGTGTGTGAGAGCCTTACAGCTGAGAGACAGTGACTGAATTAAAATGTTGAATGCAGTTCAGGAGACAGGGCATGGAGGGATGCTTCCACACTTTTTTTGTTTTTGTTTTTGTTGTTGTTTTTTGCTTTACACTCACCACGTGTGCTGCACGTCGTCCTAACATAATATATATTTTTGTTCCAAAATAAAAGCAGTTATATATTTTTGCTCATTTATTTTAGTCAACTTAATTTTTTTTGATAACATTACTTTATCCTGGGGGTTATCTTAATCGTGTCCGAGCAAGGCGCATATTTCGAAGTTAAATTTACATTTTTTTAATTATTTTTTAAAAGAACATCCGGAAAGAAAAATATGGATTTCGTTATACATTATCTGACGCACCTGTTTATGAAGATCACAGTCATAATGTCTTTTCAGACTAGACAAGCTTCGACCAACAGTGAAGCTCCAAATCATTTCAATATAATTGGAAAATAGTAAAATAACATAAAACGAAACAGAACAGAAACGGATGCTCAAATATGTGTGTGTGTGTGTGTGTGTGTGTGCGCGCATCCTGATGCCAGGAGTTCGCGGGTGTTATGATGTTCAGTTGAAAAATAAGAAAATGCACACACGTTCATGCTCAAAGTTTCTTTTTCTTGAGTTTCCTCACTTAACGTTGGCATCTATCTTATTATGTCCCAAGATACAAATATCCATAAATATGCATAAAATCCTCAATTGAATCCTTTGCTTTGAAATTTTATGAACTTTTCATCACCTTCATGTCATTTAGTTTCTTCTGTTTAGTGTTAAAAACCCCACTTAAAGAAAATCCTGTGCTAAACTGGACTTATATGCTTCATGACAGCAAGGTATATGCCTGCAATATGCTGAATGTCCCCCATGTGAGTCCACTGTGCACACTCCTCTTCACTGGACTGCAGTTTCACACTACAGCTGAACAAGTTTGGAAATTGATACAGCTTGCAATTCTGAACCATATGGCCACATTCCAAAACTCTGTTTGTGTTTATGAATATTCATATATTTTGTGCGCAGGAGTGCATTCAAATCATCTGTTGAATGCGTCTGCGTGTGTGTGGAGTTTTTTCACTTGCGTGTAATCACTGCAATCTGGATAAACGATATCCCTTCTGTTTTACGGCTTTGAGCGGTGTCTTCTTTCCTAATTTGCTGAACAGAATGCAACTACAACCTTTAACTTACAGTGGCACTCACTGTTTATTGGGTTGAAACTGACAGCACTGTCCCATTTGTAAGCTGATGTGTGTGGTCACAGTACATTTAAGATTTGAGGGTGACACTGACAGGGATCCTACTAGAAAGGGAGACAAGATACTTTTTTTTTTCAACCAGTTTCGGCACCTTTTACAGGAGACCCTGGCACTTCTTGTAAATGTCTCCTCATTGTATATTTTTCCTTTTTGTCCAGCATCAAGAATAATGAAAGAATGATATGACATTGAGGAGCCAACATAGCTGGGCTTTGGCACAGACCACGCTTATAGTCCTATCTGCTGTCACCCATTAAAGAAGCTTTGACCGTCTACCACCACCAGGCATTTTATTAGAATGAAAAAGAAAAGAAGAACATAAACATTTGTACTTTTGTCCTTTCTTTATTGGCCAGAGTAACACATAGGGAGCAATATAAAGCCACTTTTCCACAATAAAGTAAATTCAGTTACTGCTATTATAGCCTGATGCAAGACCCTCCTGTATTGTTTTTAAAAGTTGCTGAAATTATTTAAAAAAAAATATGGAAAACAAGCTATTTTTAGAATTTGAGAAGAGGACCGTTAGATGCACATATATGTAGCTTTTAGATTAATCTCTCTGGTGAGTCAGTGTTTCCTCTTTAATGATAAAAATACAAAAACAGACAATGATTTGTTGTGTTATTTAATCCCCAGCCAGCCAGACTAAGAATCTTCTCTTTGTGCAATCAAGAGTGCTGTGTAGTATTGTAGGAAATCATTAAGATTTATGTGTACTGGCCTACTGATTAAATAATATTACACAACATCACCAGTGTGTGAATGTGTGTGTGAATGGGTGGATGATTGTGTATAGTGTAAAGCGCTTTGGGGACCTTAGGACCAAGTAAAGCGCTATACAAATACAGACCATTTACCATTTACCATCTAGTTACTACCAGGATGTCTTATAACAGTTCACTATTGTTTACTTAGCAATGAATTTCCAAATGTTTTTTGAGAGTTTTATTTTCTGAACACACAAGTAAAGGTATCGTGTTGGATTTTTGCTGGGCTTATAACCAGTCAGGTTCCTATCTACATCAGCAGAAATGATTGGCTCATATCCTCTGTGACCTTTGCAAACAATGCACCTTCATTTATCACCTGCCATTACAAATGCACCATACATTCACGTCTATTTTGACATGTGTCATTGTCAGCTTAGCTAATAAATGTCCCTTTAGTGAGGGATGTCATAATTAGATCAGAGGCCATCACCCATGGACGTGCATCCCTTAATCTGGGCAGCTGTTTATAGCACATCTGTAAAAAAAAAAAAAATGCAACTTTTATGTTTGAAACATAACTTTCAAGCTCTTAGATTACTTTAGATCTGAAAAGGTGTCTTAACTCTTGAAGACAGAATGCTTGTTTCATGTTTATCACTCATTCCGTCTGTGCTCCTATGCTTTTATGATTTCTCTTTTTTTCCTCTCTGTAAATTGAGCAAGCTTTGAGTTTTTGTGTTTGTTGGAGAGAGAATGAAAGCAAAGGGAGTGAGAGACATGCAAATAGAAAGGCTGATTGCCTCCATGTAACATGGCCCTGAGTGCTGAATACACAGCAACCAAAGTCCTTCATTAACAAGGTAGTGCAGCAAACACACGTATACACAAGCAGAAGCGAGGCCCTGCTTGGTATCTTTGACAATGTACTCTAGCTATTTTAGACAGATGGGGGACTGAATTTTAGTTGGGGGAAATCAATCAGATGGACCTTAATTAGGATGGCACGTATGCTTTTAGGGCAAGAACAAGCTTGCTGAAAGAAAAGAAAATCTCAGTGCTTTTGCTACCATTCAACTTTTTGTGTGTGTTGTGGTCTAATATGCAGCACTCCAAGAAAAGAGGACATGTGTCAGGCAAAAATAAAAGTAAAATAAAATAAAATTTCTTAACAGATTTGCTTTCTCTTTATCGCTAGTGGTGCAAGGTTCATGTCTGCTATCAGGGCAAATATAAATATGAAAAATAGACGTACGTGTTTTTGGCCTAATTAAGCCTAAAGTAAGCGTATCAGCCTAAATCTGTTCTGCTATCAGTCATATTCTTGTAGCTATCAATCAAATAACTTCATTATTTTTTCAACGTTAAATATTCTCAGATTTGAATTTTGGTAATACATGTAATATTTTTAATTGGATAAATATAAAGTTACCAGTGCAGATTGGTGTCAA